CCCCCCCCCCCCGCCACCTCTTGTAGACCCCGCTCCTGGACCCGTCTGTGACCTAGCTAGTTGACATGTTCTCTGTAGGCTGTTTGCATGGGGTTGCACACCTGAGAGTGGGAAGGTTGCACCCCTGGGGGAAGGAAGGGGAGTTAGCTTGATGCCAGAACTGCCCCGTGAGCAGTAGAGTTTGGGGGTGGAAAGCTTGTCCACAAACAACAAGAGGGTGGGGGAGGGGACACTGCATCCTGGGATGCTGGAGGACTGCAGCTGGGGCCCCTCATCTGTAGGGTGTGGCCACACTTCAGTGGAACACAGGTAATAACACAGATCAGAGAGAACCTTGCCCTGGAGTGGCATAACTAAGCCTCCTGAAGTGCTCTTAAAACTAGGTTTGGCTATCAACGTGTGGATAATCCAGGGGTTAAGAGTTCCAGGAACCACCTAAAACTAATGTGCAACAAGGCCCTAAACATACATTTCTTACTGAAATCTGTCAAAATGCCAGTTCTCCTATGCAGGAGAACCAGATCTTGCATGAACAGTCTCTTAATAATTCCTTTTTCCCCACCTGTGTCTCATTTCATCCCTTTTGTTGTTCAGTGTCCTATTGTGTGGTCTTACCTTGTGAATACACAGAACTGGATTTTTTGAAGGGACTTCGTTTAGTGAACCAGGCAGACTGATCCTTTTGTTTGTTGACATCTAGGGTTTATAGAAGAGGTTTGTCCAAATCCCAATTCAGTTCAGGGAATAGCTACCAGAAGGAGAGACCAGAATATCTGTTTGCTAGAACATAGTGATTTGATGTCTCCAAAGCACTGTTCTTTCCACAAATGATGCATTTATTCTGGTTGTGACAGACAACATGGCTGGGACTTCCGTAAATTTGAGAAGTATAGCTTTGACCCTCCTGAGAAAAATATCAGCTGCTTTCAGGGCCAGAACAACATTTCTTTTCTGTGTACACAGTCTGTCCAGAAATAGATGAGATATAATTAATATAAAAACCACTTTGCTTTATGCATTTGTGTGCAAACCAGATAACTGGGGTGTACTGTGCTTTATCTGTTTATACCCACATGTCCTTCAGCGTTGATGCATCACAACTTGTGAAAAGGAAAGGGAGACTGGCACCTGGGACAGTGACTAAGGACCATCAGAAGTAGAATAACTTTCCTTACCAGGAAAGTGAGTTGGCTAATGCCCAGGGGAAACCTGTTCTTCCAGCTGAGCCTGTAACCATGCAACAAAATCATCTGATGAGGTACTTGAAGTCTGGGGGTGGGGAGGGGGTACAAGGGGTAATTTTACAAAAGAGAGTGCAGCTTTATAAAAGGTTCTCGCCACTTCCTTTAAATAGAAGGAAACAAATCAAGAAAAAACACGGCAGAGAGAGAGGAAAGGACAGTGATCAAAAACCCCAGACACTCTGAATGGTGAACCAGGGATTTGTGCGCAGATTTTGTACAATAGCAGCTGCCTGGGAAGCCATGATGGTATTTTTCTGATCTGAGGGTCTCAACATTTTTTTTAAGGGCGTGATGAATACTTATTTCTTGGTTACAGAACCTGCTCTAGTGTAAAAGCCCCAAAATGTCCTCCTACAGGCAGTGGAGCCCCTCTTGGAAAACAGTCTGCCACCTCACTGTCAGTATAATATTTCTGGTGGCTATTCCCCCTGCAAGAAGCTGGAACAGGTTCCTGGCACTTATAGAACAATAGTTTATCTTGCGCTACAAAAGCAAGTTGATGCTGACTTATCATATAAAATTCATCCCAAGGGTGACTTCCAAGTTTTATTTTAAATCCTTCAGTTTTACTGTTCTTCCTAAGGTTACATTTCATGTGTGCGGAGAAGAAACTACATACTATGGTTGTATTCCATTACAACTATATACCCCATTTATCTGGTCTTTTTTCATATTGGGTATACCTTTGATGTCTTTACAGTTGAGAGGCAGTTAGCTATGTTAGTCTGAAGCCAAACAGAAGGCCAGGGTAGATTTGTGCTTCATAGATTAACTAAATCAAAGACATAGCATAGGCTTTTGTGAGCCTGAGCTCACTTCCTCCGATACTATGAAAGGACCTTCACAGTCGCTCTGATTTAGTTAGTCTATAAAGTAGGTGCAAATCTACCCTGTGTTCTGCATTACAATGAAGCATAATGTACCTGAAATATAGATTTACAATACCATGTAATGGCATTTATTTAAATGTAGAATTGCATATAAGTGCTTATCTGCTGCAAAATCAGCCTATGGGAAAATGCAAAAAGTGTTTGTTAACTTAAAGAATCAGTGGAACCCTGCTTTAATGCCAATGGAAATTACAACCTTCCTAACAGCAGTTATTGGGTAGAACTTTCCTGTTTGGGTAGTCAGAAGCAACAGGTTAGTCCTGTTATGAAGGGAGGCATGGAAGACAGTAAGCAAATCTTCTTTAACAAACCTATCCTGAAGAGAGAACTCGTCTTTAAAGCAATTTTGGGAATGTTTCATTATCAAATTTCAAGTAGTGTCTAAGGTCCAACCAAAAATAGGGTTCTATTATGCTAGATATTATAAAAAAATTAGGGTAATAGAAGATGCTAACTGCATAGAACTCGCATAAGGCTGTGAGAAGAAAGGATTTGATGCACAAATGGAGTGAAGTGTCATGATGAATGTCATATTTCCAGGCTTTTAGAGGGAGAGATTAAATAGAAAGGAGGTAGGGAAAAAGGTTGCGGATTAAGGTAAGGGGGAAAGCAAAAAAGAAGCAGTTGTGGGGTGAGACCGAAGTGGAGACTGTAGGGTAGCAGGAGATTAGGAGAAAATGACCAAACAGCATAGGGCAGTGAAAGTAGAGACAAAACAGTTTAAAAAAAAAAATCAGAATGCTCTAGGTCCAAAGGTCTTTGCTTTAACTGCCTCTGTTCCTGGTGGCTGCAGTTCTTGGCTGCTGCCTCTTGTGTTGCGTGGAAAGAGAAGGCATCACCTGGGTCACAGTGTTACTAAAATAGTGGAGTCCCACAGGCTTTTGGTGGAAGATACAGTCTAGTCTGTCTCACCTCTTCCTTTGCTTTTTATAGCAATTCCTGTTTCTGCATTTACTGGTTGAAGTCTCTGGCTTCTCTCTGCAGGAGAGCTACAGAAAGGGAGGAAACTTCTGGGCCCAAGTAGAGAGAGAGTCTTTCCCATGGACAGTTCTAGGAGAAGGGGTGGCCCTAACTGAATCCCCATTGCACCCATCTACACAAGATGTTTACTAAGGAGTAGATGAGGAATAGACTAATTAGCTCTGTAGTAAACTTCTCGGCATCTACCTGTGCTGTGCTGTTAGGCATGAGTAAACTAATACGTTCCACAGCAGGGTAGTACTTTCAAATACAAGTACTGCCCTGATGCAGAGCTTTTTTTATGTTTTTTTTTAATTTTTTACTCCACAGCAGTGAGCATGTAGACACTGACCCGGCTGGCTGGGACACTGGGTGCTTCAGTACAGGGGCTGCCTGCTGGTTAGTCCGACGCTAGAGCACCCTCATGCCCCAACCAGCCCATCCGCAGCATGTTGAGCCAGGTTGAAGCAGCCCTGGACTGGCAGGCTGACCCTGCCCTCCTTCCCCCCCAGTACCTCCTGCCTGCTGGGCTGCTCTGACCCAGCTCAATGTGCTGTGGTCCAGGACGTGTGTAAACCTGGCACCCGAGAGCAATAAACTCTGATGCAATATGTGCTAGAGTTTATTCTGTCACTTTAATATGCATGTATAGACGTGCCCATTTTATCCTCTTTCCCCAGTGCAGCTGCCTCTGGTCCTACCAGCTGGAGTATCTGCCTGGCTTCACTCGCTGAAGAAAATAATTGACAGTCTCTAGTGATGCGCATCACCCCACTGACTTACTGAAACATCCATTAGTTACAGATGCCAGAGGGGCCTGTTGATGCTGCCAAGGTATCACTCAACTGAATCGGAAATCCTCTTGGCAGAGTTGTCGGAGAGGGTACTGGATGTTTGTTTTGGTTCTGTTGTTTGAAAAAAGACTCAGGAAAAACAGACCTGGAGTCAAATGAGAGGATAAGAAGGAATGAATCTGGTGGCTGTTTTCAGTAACTGTGCTTGAAGTGTCAATTGCTGCATGATTGATATATTTTAATTGGAATATACACTCCTTGAAACTTTTTCTTTATTTCTAGGTACAGTGAATGTTTCTGTTGGTGTAAATGGGACACTGTTTGCAAAGATGCCAATTTGGAAATACAGGCCAGAGCAGTGAGTGCATATTCACATCTTGTTGCAGTGAAGATTTTATTTGAAATCTGTCTGAAAATGCACAGACAAATGTTTACTTTTTCCCCATAATGACAGTTTTGTTAAGGATTTCCCCATCTCCCAGCTACTTGTAAATTGCTGAGTCAATTTAAATTATTTTGCAGTAAGAGATCCTGCAACCTATTGTATCAGAATTTGGAGGACAGGGATTTCCTGTCTCCTTAACAGAAGTCTAGTATAGACTTGTTCTGCCAGTTATTTCACTAGCCATTTCTTCAGTGAGGGGGGTTTTGCCTATATTAACAAATCACATCTCTGGGTATGACTCCACTACAGCAGAGTCTATAGACCTGTGTCCGGGGGGAGGAAGGAATTTTTGTGATAAGTTTATATACTTTTTTTATTCTGAAAGCTCCATCATCAATAAAACTGATCCATGGCAATGCTTTCCATTTCTAGCTTGATTACTTTGGTTGGAATCCCTTCTTCTTTCACCGCTGCCCATAAAAAGCAAACAAACAAATGTACTCCAAGACAGAGAGAAGCCTTTCCTAGTTCCTCCATGTCTTAGCTGTATTTAATTTTGTTGGCTTCCCTGATGGACTGAAAATATTCTGAAAACTAAAAAGTTCCTTTAATTTTCTTAAAGGAGCATGGCTAGTGGAATAATAAGAAATTTATTTTAATTCAAGCTATTTTAGTTTTAACTTTAGAGCTTTGTTTTTATAAACTGTAATAGAGGTGAAGAAAAACAAACAGGGGAAACCTATTCTTTCTATTATATTAGAATCTATAATAATCTGCTGCTGTGTTTTTTTTCCTAGAATGGTAAATACAGAGGAAATTTCTCAGGAAATGTTGGTTTGATTTTGTATATCAACTAAAACTTACTATAAATTTTAAATTGGACAGTCCAAACTTCAGAATAAAAATTAAAATAAATGCAGTTGTAAATAGATTCAGTCTTACAATTTTCATTTGATCTGGTTTGACCAGGCTGTTGTGTAAAAGCTTGCTTCTTAAAATATATTCTGTTTACTTGGAACCCAAGATGAGGGTTATTTTCCCCCCATTTAATATGGGTGGAGGGAAAATCCTTGTCTTGGAGTCAAGTACAAGGAGAGGGTGGCAGGCAGCCCTGGTTCTGGGCTGGGTTTGGAGTCCGAGTCTTTCCCTCTGAAACGCTTCCCCCCACCCCATTCCTTCTGCTGCCATGTACCCTGAGTTGTGGCTCGAGCTCTGGCCAAGGGCACAGAGTGCATTCTGGCTCTGGCCCCCACCTGGCCATACAGCAGCAGTTCAGCAGTGTCAGCTCTGGCCCTGGGACTGGAGCCTCAGCTGGGCCCAGAGCTGCTGCTGCCACTGCTTCCTGGCTGGGCGGGGGCTGGAGCCAGCATATGCTCTGTGTCCCAGGCCTGAGCCAGAGCCACAGCTGCTGCTCAGGGCAAGTGGTGGTGCCAGGGGGCACAAGTGCTGTGATGGAGGGAGCCGATGCCAGGTGGCCACAGGCATTGCATGAGGGGATGTGGGTCCCAGAGGGCACAGAAACTGTGTGGAGGGCAGATAGTGGCAAGTTCTGGTTGTCAGGCCACTTGACTCCCCTGCTGCTCTCCCCATTACAGCAGTGGGTGGATTAATTTAAGACAACTCTCCAATTATTAGATTCTATACCTGGAAAATTATAACATTTGTTTTCTATATGTAGAATCTAATTATTGTGGGGTTATCTTAAATTTGAAAGTCATAGTGGATTTGGGTAAATATGGTGTATGTGCACTTTATGTAAGTGTTTCTGGTACTAAATAGGGGTGCACTGATATTTCAGCCCATATCATATCAGCACCAATAAAAGGAAAATTGACATTATCGGCTATCAGCTTTTTTGGCCGATGTGACCAATTAACAACGCTGATAAATGCTGTATGCATGCACACATCTGCAGCATGTGTGGAGCCAGGAATGCAGCCCGGCAGCTTGGAGAGCAGCATCTGGTCAGTAAGTCTGTGGCAGGGGAAGAGGCGTAGGGGGGGGAAGTGGTGTGTGTGTGGGTGGGGGTAGATCCAGGCCCCAGTTGTGAGGGAGGGGCTGGGGCAGGCGCATGCACTGCCCAGCCAGG